CTCTCCCCAGCCTGGCAGCTGTGCCCTGTGCTGTCTTGCAGGACAACTGCCCCCTGGCCAGCCTCCCGTTGCTGGGCTATAGCGTGAGTTTCCCGAGGGAGGCCGATGATATCCACAAAGACTATGTCTTCAAACTCCAGTTCAAATCCCACATCTACTTCTTCCGGGCTGAGAGCAAGTACACTTTCGAGAGGTAATTTTTCAGTGGACACCCCTGGGTGCTTCCCTGGTCTGTGTCTCAGGGAACGTCAGCATCTCCTGCTTGTACTCAGAGAGCAGGAGGGTCTGGGTCCTGGGTAGGACAGGTCAATTAACATTCCAGGGTGGCTCGGCACCTGTGGCTCAAGCGGCTAAGGCGCCAGCCACATACACCTAAGGTGGCAGGTTCGAATCTCCAGCCCGGGCCCGCCAAACAACAATGATGGCTGCAACCAAAAAATGGCCGGGCGTTGTGGCGGGCGCCTGTAGTCCCAGCTACTTGGGAGGCTGAGGTAGGAGACTCGCTTGAGCCCAGGAGTTGGAGGTTGATGTGAGCTGTGATGCCAAAGCACTCTACCCAGGGGGATAGCTTGAGGCTCCGTCAAAAAAAAAAAAAAAAACATTCCAGGGTTTTTAACTGACCCTAGTTTGTCCCATTCACCTTTCACCTTGGGTCATTCTTTGGCAACATTCGGCACAAACCCACTGGACTATGCCAGAAGCTGCCAACTTCCCACTGAGCGTCCTAGGGGCTCCTGATGCCTGCCCTCTCCTCCAGGTGGGTGGAGGTGATTCAGAGGGCCAGCAGCTCACCAGGAAGACCCCAGAACCTAGAGGGCCAGGAGGAATGAAGCTCATCCTGCCCAGAGAGGACATACCACATAACAGTGGGGTATGAAGCAGCCATCATCATCCTCAGACCAAGCTGAAGAACTGCAGGAGACAGCTATGTCCCCCCCCCCCGCCCCCCAGTCAGGTCTGCTGGGCACTGACAGTGACATCTGGGGCCATAGCTCTCTGGGGCACTGAGGAGAAGCAGGTCTCAAGCTTGGTGCTGCAGGCCCCTGGCCTAGGATAAAACTGAGGCAGATGGCACCCGCTAGCCCTACAGTGCCTGCCACTCCTACCCTCCCCTCTATAGGTCCCAGACCTACAACGTACCCATTGGCCTGTAGGTCGCCACTCATTGAGTCTGGAGAAGCAGAAGCGTGCATCCCTGTGTGGCCCCTGGAAGGATGGGGGCCTCGTATTCATTAGCATCCCCATGTTCCCTCCGGTGGGGAGCTAACATGTGACCCTTTGTTCCCACCTGTCTAAAAATAAACAGCATCTGCCCACCACCTGCACACTCTTCCCTGCCTCCCTGCTCTCCTTGTGGCAGGCCACACAAATGGAAGGAACATTTAGAACACAGGCTAGACTATAACACACGGGGACACAGACTAAGGTGGGGACTGCACAGGCCCAGGTTCCCACACAGCCGCAAATCTCCAATCCAGGTCTTTATTGAAAGAGGGAGGGGCCTATCAACATTCTATGAAAACTAATACCTTAACCTCAGAGAATTTAAGGAAACAAGTTTGCTTTTCTTAAAAAACAAAGCATTCTGGATAACACAAACACTCGTGAGCACAGTACTCAATCTGATGCCACAAGGCAGAATCTATGACCACGCTGAACCAGTATGGTCCCCGGGATGATGGTGTCTTGGGATGGGGTCTGAAGGCCAGGCTAGGGTGCTCCTCTGGGGGCTGCCCTGTGCCCCTGCCCCTGCCTGGAAGGAGGACACAGAGCTGCCTGACAGTTGTCTGCCCCTTGGGCCAGCTCCTGTGAGATGTTGGAGAAGATTGGGCCACGCGGCTGCTAAGGGGTCATGTAGTCCTCTGAGCTCTGCTGCTGAGCAGGGAGGGGGAGGTGGCATGTAGAACAGCGGCCACTGGTGTGTGGGGGAGCACGCAGCACACTGCAGGGAGGGGCTGTGACCTGGCAAAGGTGGCCCACAGGCTCTGACAAGTCCCTGCAGGTGTGACACAGTATGAAGACCTTCCAAGCCACCACAGTTCTCACAGAGCTCAGAATACAGAGGCCCCGTCCCCTCTCTGTGGATAGCAGCGCTTCAGCGGGCCGATGTCAGGTGGTTCCTGCCATGTGAAAACCTGCAGAAGAAAGGACCCGTCACTGCTTTGACCGTTCTGCCAGGCTCCCAGAGCCTCATGGGCAGCAGCCATGATAAGTTGCACCATGTGGGCCTGCAGGTATCCCCAGATGCTGGTCTCAGGAGCAGCATTGACCAGCTGGGACCCCATTCCATGAGCTACTGCCCAGGGGTGCATGTGTGGACCAGGACCCACCACCCAGAGTGTGGGGAAAGGGCTTTGGCGCAGCTTTGGGGTCCCAGGGGATGCCTGCCAACACCTCAGGTTGGTGGCAAAGAAGGCACTTATAGTGCCTGGGCCTTAGGTGACTTGTGAGGCCACAGTGTGGTGGGACAGAGGGTGGGATGCCTCACCTCTGCACGCGCTCTACCAGGTGAGCCATCAGTGCATCCGAGATGCCAGGACAGGCCTCCTCAGCCAGACTGAAGGCATTCTCCAGCTCCTCCAATGCCCCCGCACCCCCACCACTCTGCCTGTACTTCTCTCTCAGCTGCAAAGAGACACATGCCTGATGGGACAGCCTGCTCCTGGGCTGGGGGCCCCCACGCCACTGGCCTGTGAACCTAATCCTGTCTGTTGATGGGGCCGCAGCGGTCCTGCCACAATTCCCGCCTCTACCTGCTACCATTCTACACTCTGGGTCTCAGTCCTCAGGATACCAGGTGGCTGCCTCCCTACTGAGGGTCTTAGAAGCAGATAGACAGGTTCCAGCCACACCTGTCCACTTACCCCAGGGCTGACCCACATGACTCCTGAGCCCATCACCTACCCAGGCTGCCCAGGACCTAGCCCCAAGCAACTGCCTCCCACTTGGGCCTCCAAGGGGCTTGGGTAACTGCCATCACACTCTCACTGTCCTCCCTCCCTTCCTGGGCTCTGGATGCTGTCCCTCGCAAGGACATTGAGGCTCCTACCTGGTCTGAGACCCACTGCCCAACCCCAAATCCAGGGCATGGTGGGTCCTGGCTACTTGGCATTTCTGGGGATGACAATGAATGTTCATCAGGTGACACTGATACAGGATCACATGACGAGGGAGTCACCTCCAGGCCACCCTGCCCTAGGACTGATGCCCACATCAAGAACTAAACCTCTTCCTCTCCACAAAAGTGTCACCTAGTACATTTTCGACTCAACAAAAGTCCCAGGAAATTAGTTCTTAAGCAAAGCCAGTTGGACCCCAGAGGACCTCAGCAGGTCTGGGAGCATAAAGGGGTCATGTTAGGGCAATTCATCCCAGAGGAGTCTGGTCCTTCCACTCAGAAGTGCTGGCCAGCACATCTAAACCATGACTGGCTATGACAGGCTAGCATGTGGGATAGAACCCCATGCTCCTTGCTGGCACCTCCTGTTAGGTACCTGCCCCTAGCCCAACTCCGCCTCACCTCTCCAAAGACTGGCCGGACCAATGTGGACAGGCACTGGGACCTCGGCTGCCTCTTGATGGGCTCCACTGGCTGCAAAGAGAAGCCTAGCTGGATGAGGGGCAGGGAGAGTGGCACAGCAGGTTTCCTGCCCAAGCCCAGGCACAGCTCTAAAACCACCCAGAAGCCTACAACCCCCACCCCCACCCATGCTCCTCACAAAGTCAGCTCTAAACAGGCCCAGCCTACCCCATACATGCTGGGCCCAGGGTCTCCACACCAGGCCCATGCTCAGTGCCACTCTGTGCTTTGGACAACCCACCCTGCCCTTCCCAAGCTCCTCAGCCAGACGCACACACTGGGTAGACAAAAGTGGGTCCCAGGCAAAGGGCCCTGCACCCAGCCCAGCCTGCTGCCTCAGGAAGCCGAGACAGGGCTGGTGCGCATGGGGCAGTGGTCTCCAGGACTGAGCCAGGTACAGACCTTCTGTGAACCATGCAGGGCTGTCCCCTTGTGCAGCTTGCTGTGTGGACTTGGCCGGATGGTGGGGGGGAATGTCCAGATGGGGCCCTGCTCCCCATCCTCAGCTTCACCATCTCTGTAGAGGACGACCAGTCAGGCCTCAGGAATCCCTCCCCTCTTTCCTTGCCAGGTACCTCACAGTCCAGGGTGAGGCCCAAGTGCTGGGTGGGCTCTGCCAGGCTGCAAATCCAGGGCACAGTGGGCCCTGCCCAGCACCATGCCTAACACCCTGCACCTCACACACACACCCCTGCCCCTCTGGAGTGGGGCCGGGGGTGGGGGGATCCCACCCTTGTCATGTGGCCCAGGGCTATCATAAGGATGGGCAGGGCCCTACATGTCAGAGTCCTCAGAGCTAGACTCCTCGCCATGCCCCTCGGACTTCCAGCGCTTATAGCGGTCAATGAGCTCGGTGAGGAAGGAGGTCTTCTTGGTGTAGCGTGTGATGAACTTGTGCTTCAGAAGCTCCTTGGCCGTGGGCCGCTGTCAGGACAAACACAGTCACCAGGCATAGCCCAGCCATGCCCTCAGGAGAGCAGACACAGGGAGGGCAAGGGACCATGCCTGGGATTGACCTGCCCACCCCAAGCTCCCCACGCCTACAGGCTGAGCCAGTAGCCCTGGGCAGAGGCAGGCCTTACGAAGCGGGGGTCCTTGTTGAGGCAGGCCTCCACAAACTCCTTGAAGGGCTTGCTGTGGTGGCCCTCCAGCGTGGGTGGGCTATTCTTGGGGATGAGGAACAGCACACGCATGGGGTGGAGGTCAGAGTTCGGAGGTTCACCCTTGGCTAGCTCGATGGCCGTGATGCCCAGGGACCAGATGTCAGCCTATACCGGACACAGGGACTGTCTCCGCCCAGCAGCACCCACATCAGCCACAACCAGCCCCACACCTGCCCACCTGCAATGCCCACCTTGAAGTCATATGCTGACTGCTTGATGACCTCAGGCGCCATCCAGAAGGGGGTACCCACGAAGGTGTTCCTTTTGATCTGTGTGTCTGTGAGCTGCCCCGCCACCCCAAAGTCTGCCAGCTTGACGTCACCCTGCTCCGAGAGCAGCACGTTGGCAGCTGCTTGACACAGGACAGGCAGGTGTCACCCTCCGCTCATGTGGGCCCCACCCTGGGCAGCCCTACATGCAGATGCCTGAAAGGTGCCAGGGTGGGGTCCACCTGGTCTCCCGGGGCATCAGCAGAGCTGTGTCCAGGACCTCAGCTATCCTTGCCACTCACTCTCAGGTTCTCAACGGAGTCCCCAGCCTGAGCCCAGGTGGTACCCTCCCTGCACGTCTCTTATTATGGACCAAATAGCAGCAGCACCCATGACAGGCCCCGAAGAGACGACACAGGCCTGTCAGGACGCCTTTATTCTGCCAGATTCATCCCCTACCCACAGTGGTGGATGTGGCACACTTTGGGGATCAGGAACAGCACGTGCATGGGGTGAAGGACACTCAGATGTAAGACCACAGGTTAAGAACAACTGTGGTTTATAACAGAGCCCTTCCTACTCTAGTGCACAGCTAGTCTCTCCTGTATATGGGAAATTCAGTTACAAGCAGTATCTTCTGGAAATGGGCAAGAAAAGAACACATTTCCAGGTAGCTATGTCCCCCCCACGCACACCCCAGATACCACCAGCCACTCAGCCCTCACAGGCTGGGCCGTCCCAGGGTCAGTGGGACTGAAGACAGGAGCCGCCCACCCGGCAGGACCTTTGATGTCTCGGTGGATCTTGCGTTCCGAATGTAGATAGTCTAGGCCTTTCAGAATCTCCCGCAGGATGGTGGCAATGTAGGTCTCCTCCAGGGGGCCTGGCTTAAGCTGGACAAGAAGGTAGGACAAGAGGGCCTCAGCTACAGCTATCCCCAGGCCTGAGTGCACTGCCTCTCCAACAAGGGTAGGGCTCTGCATGCCTGTGACTACTTCTGAGCTACAGATGCCAGGTCAGCTAGCACTGGTGAGCAGCACCTTGCCAGCCTGTCTGTGGGCACAGACCCCACCCACCCCAGGCCAGCACTGCCCAGGCAGGACTACAGGTAGCAGTTTGTCTGATAGATGACTCCTAGCACCCAAGCTACTGTGATGCCAAGAGGTGGCCCAAGGGAGCCCTTAACCCTGAGGGTGGTGCGTCCTGGAATGTCACCTGACACCCCTCTCCCCAACAAGGTACCCATTGCCACAGCCTACACCTCACCAGGTCCAGGGCAGAGCCGCCACCCAGGTACTCCATGATAATCCACAGCTTGGTGCTCTGGGGCCAGAGAGAAACCCATAAGCACTTGACAACAAGTAAAG